AGCGAGCATCAAACCCGAAGGCCAGATCAACCCGAAGTTGAAAATCTCTACTAACTAGTAGGCATTCGCTAAATAAAAGCGAGCATCGAACCCGAAGGCCGGATCAACCCGAAGTTGAAAATCTCTACTAACCAGTAGACATTCTTTAAATAAAAGCGAGCATCGAACCCGACGGCCGGATCAACCCGAAGTTGAAAATCTCTACTAACCAGTAGGCATTCGCTAAATAAAAGCGAGCATTGAACCCGAAGACCGGCTTAATACGAAGTTGAAAATCTCTACTAACCAGTAAGCATTCACTAAATAAAAGCGAGCGTCGAACCCGAAGGCCAGATCAACCCGAAGTTGAAAATCTCTACTAACTAGTAGGCATTCGCTAAATAAAAGCGAGCATCAAACCCGAAGGCCGGCTCAACCGGAAGTTGAAAATCTCTACTAACCAGTAGGCATTCGCTAAATAAAAGCGAGCATCGAATCCAAAGGCCGAATCAACCCGAAGTTGAAAATCTCTACTAACCAGTAGGTATTCGCTAAATAAAAGCAAGCATCGAACCCGAAGGCCGGTTCAACACGAAGTTGAGATCAGTGAATCTAACGATAATTCACAAGAGAACTCCGCTGGGGACAAAGAAACTTAACCAAGCAACTCTGTTGGGAAGCACATGATAAGATGACCACATCTATCAGAAGGTTCTGCCGAGGTCTGAATACCTGTACGGGCTCTAAAATATAACGACACAAACCGCCATGGTTTGGATACCATACAAGCAACATAAATTAACCATCTATTGGAAATACACCTGAAAACAAAAAGGTAACAATCTGGCTTATGTTTCACATGCATATGTTTGAATATGGCATAATGCTCCATACGAAATGGAAATGCTACGCATTTATGAGGATGCTATGCACGAATGCAGAGTGCAACAGAAACGAATCAGCAAAATAAATGTTGAAGAGACAACAAACTCCGCTGGGGAGAGGCAGGATATGCCAATTACGATTGGACTTAAACTGGGAAAACAAGCCTTGGATGACCTTCTTGAAAAGAACTTTCCGGCGTATCGTCGTTCTGACAAGAACGAGAAGCCACTCTGTTAGGGATCAAATCAAAAACTGCTGAGGATGACGCCCTGAACGGCCTTCCAGAATACAACTCTTCTGGGGAACAGATGATCCGACTGGGGAAAGACAACCAAATCCTGGAATTGAATCCAACCTATCGCAGAAATCAACGACTCTGCAGTGGATCACAATCAACCATTGAGATTAACTTTGCTTCGTCGGGGAAATCGGCCCTGAATGGCTTCCTATAACATTGAAGTCCTTCTAGGGTACACAAATACTTACACGGGAGTAACTCCGCTCTGTTGAAGATCAAAAATTCGATCCGCTGGGAATTACTCAGCTAGGCAATCAACTTCGGCTGTAGATTACATCCGAGTGCTAGGAATCACTCAGTGGGGACAACCGAATAAGATTTACTGGGAAACTATCCAAAACTCTCTCTGCTGAGGATAGAGAATAGCAGTCTCTGAATCAACCCTAACTTGCAGGGAAGAATAACTGCTCTGCTGACTTTTCTGGGGAATTAAGCAAAAGGGAGAACAAACTCGACCTCTGCTTGGGGAATGAATCACCATTTTAAGCTCTAAGGGGATACAAAGTCACACGTTTGGACTCTGTGGGGAAACCAAGCCCTGAACTTACTCCGCTGCTGGGAAAAAGCGCCACACCCGCCTGGTGGAGAGAAATCCAACCTTGACTTACTGAGGAGTAAATGTGTACCTACAATCTGCTGGGGATACGGGTACATATCTGACCTGCACGGGGTATATCAATCTCGACTCTCTGGGGATGACTTACTCTGCCGAATAAACCAATCTTGAACCACTAAGGGATGAGTGCATACAAATTATTGGGTATACACACTCGACCTGCACCTCTTTTCCTGTAGAAACAGACTCTTGCTGGGGAAAATGAGTCTCAACTATGCGTCTTCTTTCTGTGGGGATGGTGATCCTACCGGGAATACACCTCTGGAAATTTGCCCCAAGGGTAACGACCCTGCAAATGAACAAACAAACAAGATATCCTACACAAAGGGAGCTATCTCGGTCATCATCCGTGACATTATTCAAATAAATCAAAGTTTTAATGATTATGGACAAAGCCTGCAAGTTTATGTATGTAACATTTTATCAAAACATCAGGCGTTTTTCCGCAAACAAAACAGTAGAGGCTAAAGCGAAAACAAAATTCATTGAATAGTATATGCTTCATTGACGAATGGCCTGTAAATAGGCAAATATTACAACAGATGCAACCCCTGAAAAGAGGAAGCTGCGCAAAAAAAAATTACAAATATGCACAAAAATATACAAAATATCGGCAATGTGGCATAGAAAAACACCATGAGCTGATCCATATATGACTCGCATGACTTCGATGCTTCTCTAATGCCTCGTCTTTTGAAGAGATTGATTCGGATGAACAGTCCTCAGGTCCTCCCTCCATCCACTATGCTCTGAAGATCAAATACGCAGACCGCAGTCATTTGCTTTTCAAAATCCCTAACTTTTGCCTGAATCTCCCTTTCGGATTTTCAACTCACTGGGATACCCATTTTTGCCAAAGTCGTCTTTTCAGGTTTTCAACTTTGCGGGTTTACATCTTTTCCTTTTATCCCTAACGTTTGCCCAAACCCATTCTTTTTATGGTTCGCCGGGATGCCCCATTTTTGCCTGGATATTCTTTTCTCATTCCAACGGGTCTCTTTAAGCAAATTATTTTTTAACTGCGTTTACGTTCATAGGGGATGTGAAATCTTCCCCATCCATGGTTGAAAACAATAAGGCTCCTCTAGAGAAAACCTTTCGCACGACATATGGACCTTCATAGTTGGGAGTCCATTTGCCCCTGTGATCTGTTTGTGGAGGGAGAATCTTCTTCAACACTAACTCACCTGTTTGAAAGCTTCTAGGGCGCACCTTCTTATCAAAAGCTTTCTTCATCCTGCTCTGATATAAACGACCATACGCAATGGACGCTAACCTCTTCTCATCCATCAGGCTGAGCTGATTCAATCTATTTCTTACCCATTATGCCTCATCTAGTTTGACGTTAACCAGAACTCTCAAAGAAGGAATCTCGACTTCCAATGGTATGACAGCTTCCATACCATATACCAACGAGAAAGGAGTTGCCCCGGTTGAAGTACGTACTGAAGTACGATATCCGTGTAATGCAAAAGGCAACATCTCGTGCCAATCTTTATAAGTTACAACCATCTTCTACATTATCTTCTTTATGTTCTTATTGGCTGTTTCAACAGCTTCGTTCATCTTCGGACGATAGGGAGAAGAGTTGTGATGCTCAATTTTGAAACTCTGGCACAATTCCTTCATCATCTTGTTATTCAAGTTCGAACCATTATCAGTAATGATTCTCTCAGGCACTCTGTAACGACAGATGATGTCCTTCTTGATAAATCGGGCTACCACTTGTTTGGTGACATTCTCATAGGAAGCTGCTTCAACCCACTTGGTAAAATAGTCAATTGCTACCAAGATGAAGCAATGTCCAATGGATGCGGTTGGCTCAATCCTGCCAATCATATCAATGCCCCACATGGAAAAGAGCCAAGGTGGCGCCATGACGTTCAGAGGACTCGGCGGCATATGAATCTTATCAGCTTAAATCTGGCATTTATGGCACTTCTTTGCAAACTTGGAGCAATCAGACTCCATAGTCAACCAATAATACCCTGCTCGCAACAGCTTTTGAGACATGGCGTGCCCGCCTACATGCGTAACAAAGGCGCCTTCATGGACCTCTTCCATAAGCAAACCTGCTTATTTTCGTCCACGCACCTTAGCAGCACTAAGTAAAAATTCCTCTGTAGAGAACACCATCTTGGTTTAGATAGAAATTTTGAGCCAACCTCCTCAAGGTCTTCTTATCCCGAGCCGAGACCCCAGGCGGATACTCCTGATTCTTAAGAAAATTCTGGATGTCATAATACCATGGCTTGCCATCAGAAGCTTCTTCTATCGCAAACACAAATGTTGGCCTATCAAGGCGCGAGATGACTATTCTCAGAGCATCATTCCAAAAGTTCACCTTGTATATTGAGGATAGTGTAGCCAGAGCATCTGCCATCTGATTCTCCGCTCGTGGCACGTGATGAAACTCTACCTGGTCAAACAAAGGCAACAACCTCCTTGCATAGTTCATGTAAGCACTAGTAGAAAAAATACTTTATAGTAGAGGTTGTTAAGTCAGTTCACCTGCCACATGACTTAAGAAGTGATACGATGACAATTTCGTAAATATTTGTAACATTGTTAGGTCAATTGCATTTAGAACTGACTTAAAAAATATTAAAGAAAAAAATATAATTCATATTAAATTTCTTAAGTCGCTTGTGTTCACTAACTGACTTAAAAAACATATTTATTAAGTCAGGTATTACCCACTTGACCTAAGAAGTTTTATTCAAACCCTTCTCTCACTACAAACCCTTATTCTTCACAACAAACCTTTTATTCAACAAATGAACTCCTTTGTTAAACTCTTCTCACGAACCCATAAACCCTTTCATCAAACTCGAATCCTTCACATAAAATCCAGAAATCATACACTTCACTGTCGAGTTGCTTCGCCGTTTGCCGTGGACGGCGGTTTCCGCTGCTGCACCAATTCCACTGCATTCTTCCATTAAAGTTTTCACTTCCATTCCAAAGCAACTCGCCTTCTCCCCTTTATCCTTCTGCTCCACCTCCGACCTCCATCTCACTCACCATCCAGACAAACATGTAATTTCATTTTCACGCCATTTCCAGGGTTAACTCATTCAATTGTTTTTTTGTTCACATCATTCACTGAGTTTGAATCTTCATTTGCAGGAACATGAACCGGATAATCGTCACCCGCAGCATCTATCACTGTTTGGCATAATTGCAATTTACATTTTCTAATACTCGTTTCTAGATCTTCAGATGAGTTATCACAAATTCAATGAATCACAAAGGGAACAGCTTGTGCTCAGGAGGTTGAACCCAGAAGCAAAGCTCGAAACTTTCTTGCAGTGGCTTCAGGTTTGTTAACATGATTTGTAATTTACTGCAGAAGTGAATAAACATATCAACCTTTTATTGCTATGGTGAATTTTCAAAATGGTTTCTTTTCCCTAGTTTTGAATTTTGATTTGGTCTTGAGTTCAGGCAAATAGGGTGGAACTACGAGGTTGCAATATCAAGTACTGTGATTCCAGAAAAGGGTTCGGCATTTTTTCTGATAAAGATGTTTCTGATGGTAATAATAATATACTGAAATCAATATGAATAGAATATTGTTATTGTTGTTTTGAATTGGAGATAATGGAAACACTCATCTTTCATAGAAAGTGATTTTGTTTTCTTTGAATAAAGGGATTCTGTTGGTTGTTCCACTTGAGTTAGCAATTACTCTGATGAGGGTGTTGCAAGATCCTTTTCTAGGACCAGAATGTAGAGCATTGTTTGAAGAAGGAGATGTAGATGACAGGTTCTTAATGATGTTGTTTTTTACTGTGGAGCGTTTGCGTAAGGGTTCTCTATGGAAGCCGTATGTATGGTTTGTTTTTGTTTTACTTTATGTTTTTCAGAACTTTATGTTAGGGAATTTTAATGAGTTATCGAGAAGCTGACATTTAATCAGGTACCTTGATATGCTTCCAACCACTTTCGAAAATACACTTTGGTTTAGCGAAGAAGAACTTCGAGAGCTGAGAGGGACTAACTTGTATCGTGCAACTGAGTTACAGGTAATTGATGTATGACGGAACCAAATGTAGTTTGTTTAATGGGTTGGTGATAGAACCAAATGTCATTTAGCAGTAGTTGATTTGATTACTGTTCTATCTTGCAGAAGAAAAGCCTGTTGAATTTGTATGAAACTAAAGTGAAGGATTTAGTGATGAAACTTTTGAATCTTGACGGAGATTCTGAGATGTATGTGTGTTTATTAGTTAATGATTTTAAACAGTTTATTCGTAATTGACTCCTATTAAATGTTAATCATGTTAATTTAGTTTTGAAATTAAGAACTATAGTTTTGAAAATATAACTTAATAGTATTAGTTCACTGCTTCACTTTTTATGACAACTACTATTGCAATAAGATTTAAATTTGAATGTGGTTTATGATATTATATATAATATACCTTCTCAATTTTCTTCAGGATGATGAATTGAAATGCGCTTTCTAGATTTTGTTTTTAAACAGCAATTTTTGAATTTTAAACGTAAATTTACGGTGGTTTTCTTGTGTGTGTGTCTGTTTTTCCAGTGAGGTGTGCTTTGAAGATTTCCTGTGGTATGTACTTCTAGTGAACTTGTATATGCGCATGAGTTCAACTAATTATTTGGAAGTTTATATCCGACTTGCGTTAATGCTAGGGCAAATTCAGTTTTCTGGAGCCGTGCTTTGAACATTCCAATGCCTCGTTCTTATGTATTTCCTGAGATGCAAGATGTTCATCATAGTTGCACTCCAGAAGCTGATGAAAAGGGTAATTCCATCTCTACCTAGTTCCCTTTAAAAAGTCCTCTCCTGTGATGCATCCAACGGAGCCGTCACAATAGTGTTTTTTTTTAATTTGTGAGTTAAAAGTGATACTTAAATTAGGAATGTTTTATTAAAGGAAGCGAGGCTACAAAAATAGACGATCTAACCAAGGAAACGACACATAGCACAGTGCATGGAGAGACCGTTTGGGTTGAGGGTCTTGTCCCTGGTATTGACTTTTGCAACCATGGTAAGATGTTGCTTGAAGCTCTGACATTTCACTTCACTATGTGCTTTTAAACTACTTTCCTTGTTAATTTTTTTCATTAATTGGAATCTGATTTCTTACATGACAACCAGATTTGAAGCCAATAGCAACATGGGAAGTTGATGGGATTGGCTTAACAACAGGAGTTCCTGTCTCCATGTATCTTCTTTCCGGTAACATATGTGCCTTTGATATTCAACTTTTTAATATTAAATTGCTAACTTAGTTTTCTTTTGGTTTCTCTCTTTCGGCTTTGGTATTTCCGTAAAATAATATTTATTGAAAGTTTGAAACTATTCCCCTTTAATTCATTATTTTCTTGTAAAGTTGCTCAAAGTCCCTTGCAGATTGATCGAGAAATTTCCATTAGTTATGGCAACAAGGGAAATGAGGTAGATTCTTTATATTGTACCATGATCGAAAGAAAAAAACCTTTTCCTATAAAATATGTTTTATATTCTCTAGTTTATTTTTCTCTTATCTTCTTTTGATTAAGCACATTTTCCACTTGATGCAGGAACTTCTATATCTGTATGGCTTTGTCATTGATGGTAACACAGATGACTATCTCATGGTAATGTTACACTTGTATCTTGTGTTCACCAAGCGTAAAATTTCTACTTAACAATATTACCCCAATTCCTTAATTGTTTCGTCAAAGTGATCCGGTTTCTACTTTGTAGAATCTATTTGTCTTCTATCTTTATAGTTATAGCTGTTGCCCCTTTGTAGCGGTAAAAATCATGAGCGTAAGTTATTAATTAACTTAACTCAAAAAACAAGAGTCGCCACCGCACTTTTATTTTATCCAAATAAAGGAAAGGAAAAAGAGCAAACAAAACCAAAGAGTTCTAAAACAAGAACAAGAAACAGAGATCGGGGTAAGGGGGTTGGTTACGCAATGAGAAGGTGTTAGCACCCAAAACGTCTATAGTACTCTATAGGAGCCCTTTGAAATATTTACGTTTTTTGGTTTGAAAATAGTTTGTTTGAAAAGAGATTGGGGAGATGAGAAGAGAATTATTTTTTAGATTTTTGTGTTTGGAGAGACTTATCGTCTCATGCCTACGTACCCACAAAGTGCAATATAGGATAAAAACCCCGTAGTTCGTGATTCAAATGACAAAAATTTGTTGGTTTTTGATTGATTTTAAATATAAAGACAAGTCGTCATTTTAAGGAGAAAACTGCGACTAGTCGCCCACAAGTATTAAGACAACATTTGCGTCACATAAATATGGAGGATTTGCTTGGATTATCAACAAGACTATCACTCAACATCAACGTGAAAAATGTCAAAGTCTTAATACCATGGGGAATAGGAGGATTACATCTCAACTATAGAAATGAATCATGTCTAAACTTTATGAAAAGTTTTAAAGTGAAAAAGTGCATAAAGGCACAAAAAGAGTTGATGAGTTTTTGTATTTTTTATGTCTTTTGAAATTGGTCAAAGCATGATTAACATTGATTGACTTTTATTAAGAACAAAGTTTGAAAATCACTTGACGAAAGTCAAGGTTTTATTGCGAAAGCGGTTTTGAAGTTTGAAACCAAGAAGGTTTTGAAAGAGGGAGAAAGTTTTGAAAATTTAAGAAGGGGAGGAGATGAAGTGACTATCCTAGAAAACAAAATAAAAGTTAGAGGTAAGAAAGATCTAACCCACTTGAAGTACACTCCAGAGCAAGCAAAAAGAATTCCATCCGATTTAAAGCATAAGCTAATGAGCGAGCCAAATAAAGGCTAATTCTCCAATACTCCAAAAACTCCAATACTCCAAGCATAGGAATGAGAGTCCTAATTCTAAGTCCAAAGGTCCATGAAGTCCAAGGTCTAAAAGTAGTCTAAGATCATAACCACAAAGTTAATAACACCAAGTTTTTTTTAGAGATTTTTATCCTTTATTAGTGTTTTGAACAAGGTATGGTACAAGTGGACAAAAGAGAAATGACATAAACATAAACAAAGATATGATATGAAATGATAATATGGAAGCATAAAAGTAAAGAAATAAGGAGTAAGAAGAGAATATAAACCAAAATTAAACAAGGATATTGTTAGTGAATTAGTAATTAGTGGTTAGAACATATGATCAATGATGATTAATTTTTGCACTTAGACCAAGGTTAATGAAAACTCATTAGAGGATTGATAGAATCAAAGCCTCCTAACAATGATTTTCATAGGTAATGGACTTAAGACAATCAACTAATCATACTTGGACTTTCAAACATAAGTTTGAGCCACGAATGATCATTTTCCGATTAAGGGACACTTTAGCGCTATGTTAAGCAATCGTAATCGGGTTTATGTAGAAACCACGACTATCTGAGGCCGGTCAATAAAATGTTAGTGTTAACACATGTTAGAGAAGCGATATGTAAATCACTCTCCTAAAACATGCCACACAAAAAGAAAAGAGGTGGTGATCTCATCATAATCAAGATTTTTCATCAATTAATCAAAGGTAATCTATCACTATTCTAAAGTACGGAGAATTATCTCAATGATTATTCGTCCATAGATTTGAAATAATGAAGATTAAACAACTTTGATAATCAACAATCTATGATCCATAGATTTCATCGATCAAAAGAAAAAAAAAAGAAGAATAAGAACTAAAATGAAAAGAAATCACAATTTGAATCTTAAATCGATTAAATCATCATCAATATCAATCACCTCTTTTAATGGATAAAATCGACACTCAAAGTCCATTGATATTGATGAGATCTTATCAAAATTCAAGATCCAAAACAAAACAACAATTAATCCAAATTAATATATTTTTCAAATAATTTTTCAAGAGTTTTCTTCAAGAGTACTATTTAAAATATAAACTAGTAAAAAAAAAGAAAAAAAAATGCGGAAAGGAAGCCCACACGGCCCAAGTTTTTAAGAAAAAAAAAATAATAATAATAAAATTGAAATAAAGTGAAAAGGAAAAAATAGAAAGAGAAATTTCAGAAAACATCATCTTCTTCATTTTCACACGCGACACTGTTCACATCATGCTAGCAAATTAAAGCTTGCTCAAATCAAAGCGGCGGGACGCAAAACCAACACGGTTGTGATCGGAATCAAGCGTACATCTCAAATGTGTTATCAATTTTGTGTAATGGTGCTTGGATCAACCGAATCGAAACCGCAAAGTCTCGATATAAAACTCCAAATTACCTTTAATTCAAGGTGAGCAACGCTTCGATTCTTCTTCTTTTTCTTCTTTCCAAAGAACGGTTGTTGATTTGCGTTGAAACTTGTTGTTGTTGGTGAATTTGAATTTTGGAGTTGAAACTTGAAGATGAATTTTGGAGTGAATATTTAGAGAAAATTTTGCAGAACTTTCTTGGCTTAGAAAAGCTTCCCTTGAATGAATGAATGTGTGTTGTATTTATAGAAGAAGAGGAATGGAATTGGAAATGAAAATGAGTTGCCGTTTTGAACTTTCCGTTGCGTTTAGTATCAATATTTTTGCGTGACTTCTTTGCTAAATTTTTGATGTCATTTTGGTATTTTATTGCAGCTTGTTTGTTGAAGCACTTATGGCTTGTTTGGCTAGCTTGGATACACATCACAGCTGGGTGTAATATTGATATTTTCTTGCGTAGCATGAGCTTGTAGTCTTACTACATTGCCTTTGAAATTGCCATGGCTTGATGGAGATTCAATTGGCTTGGGCTTGTAGAAGAGGTAGTAGTTAGCACTCTTGGCCATGTGGGCTTGGAAATAGAATGAGATATTTGAAGTATGGGCTGTAGCTTTTTGTGAATTTTTCCTTTATAATTTGGTACAAGTCTTTCATGTGGTAAAACTTTTGGCAAGTGTTTGAATATATCATGGCATGTATTGATTTTGAGAATTTGGAAATGTGTGTTCATGGAGCTTGCTTGAATTTTGTATTCATGAGGCATGGTTTCTTCTTATTATAATTATTTATTTATTTTTGTAGTTTTTCTGTAAGATGTAAATAGAGATGGATTTTGGAAATTAAACTAGATATTTAAATGGATATGAATTGGATATTAAAAATGGATGATGAATAATGATGGATTTTGAAATTGGATATTAAATGGATGATGAATAATGATGGATTTTGAAATTGGATATTAAATGGATAAAAAAGGGTAATTGATTTAATGGATACTGAAAATATATATTTAATGGATAAAAAAAATGATTTGGATTAAGAATGAAATTTAGTCATGGATAATGGGTTTGAATGAATATGGATCTTAAAATGTGGATGATAGAAATGGATAGTGAAGTGAATAAAAAAAAGGTTGGGATATTGGAAAAAAAATGGACATTTAGAATTGCATTTGAATTAAGTTTGGATATTAGTATGGGTAATTGGAATAAAATGGATGAGAAAATTTGGATGAAATGGGAATTGAAAAATTGGTTTTAAAAATGGATAGTTGGTTAAAAAAAATTGAAAATTGGTTATGGATATGAAAAATGGATTTGATATATATATATGGATTGGATGGATAGGTTTAGAAAAGAAATGATTAGAAAGAAGAAGAAAATGGATAAAGGTGAGCTTAGGAAAGAAAAGGATCTTGAATCTTTGAAAATATGCCTTAAATTCCAAGCAAGCCATAAACCATGAATATTCCAACTTGAACCAAACCTTGAATGAAACAAGCTCTTGAGAATTTGATGCCATGATGAATCCAAATATCAATACTTGCATCTCAATCAATCAAAAGGCCATGATTTAACAAAATTCTCCTCACATTGATGATCTAACCATGAAAGTGAATCCTTGAGGAATCTTCATTGAAGATATTGACTTGTGAAACAGAGAATTAGGAAAAACCTCGAGATGATGATGAACTTGCAATAGAGAATAATGCTCAATGTAGCCTCGAAGAAGAAAACCACGACATCAAGAACTTCAACTGAGGAACCATTATCAAACACTAGCATAATGAACTGAAACCTTGGTTCTCTTGTTCTTGAGAAATCTTTAATGAAGACATCATTGTAACTTGATAAATCTGACTTTGGACCAAACTTCTCATGCATCACTGCTCGATAACCACAAGATAACTTGACCTTGGACTCACACATTTCCTGAGAAAATAGCCCACTACCATGGGTAACTTATAATTGAAGTAAACTCTTGATAATTTGACCAAGATGAGGTCAAATTTTCATCTGATTTAGACTTGAATGAATGTCCTTACCATCAATCTCCCTGCAAAACCCTAAACACACAGAGAAGAAGAAGAAACAAGAAAATTGCAAAATATTTTTGGTATTTTTGTTAGAGGTTAGTAAACATAAACAACAAAAAGCAAATAAGAAACACACAAGGGTGCTAGGAGAATCAAAAAGTACGAACTTGTTTGTGGAATGATGTGCAAATGAAATGTGGGATCTTAGGGGTAAAAATTAGGGTATTACAGCTGCCCCTATTTAAGATTCTTCTATCCGGAGATATGAAGATTGACATCTTTGTCTCGACCAGATAGAAGAAACTTAAATATAACAATAAACCCAATTTTTGGCCCTAAGAGGCCACCAAATGATATGATTATGCTAATGATATGGTATGCAAACACAAGACCACCGTGGGGAGAAAATGCCACAGGAAAAAAAAATAAACACCAGAGAAAA